GGGGGGGGGAACGTGTCGCCGACGTTTCGTCGGAAAGCCGAGGATGCGTAGAATTGGCGGGGAATCTCGCGAGGGAAACAAAGTCTCGAAGCGACGCACGGTCTTCTCCTATTTCCGTTTTCGACGGTCCTTGTAGATGCGCGATGATTTTTTGGTCGCTCTAAACATATCGATTCTATTGCGCAGAGAAACGCGCGAACGGGGGTGAGGCCGAAGACGATGCACGAGGGGAGGTCTTGTCGGGGAGAGGATGCGCGAACATGTACCGTTCATTTTTATCTAAGTGTGGTTTTGGTTAGGAAGAACGAATGAAGCTTCCCCAAAACATACCTCTGGCACGGCGATCGTGGATCTCGCGTGGACCGTTTCTCAAAACCCGATAATCGCCCGCTAGAAACTCCTGCTTGGTCGATCGATTTCTTGGTTCGATCTAGTCTGAGGAGAAACAGCTTCGTCATGAATCATAGCTGCGACAGTTTCGTCTTTTTGCCGGAATTCAACGTTTGCTTGATGGATTAAATTATGGCGAACATTGGCGCAAATCGTAGTTCATCGCGGTCACTTTACGTTAAGAAGGAAATATGTGCGCTCTTCGAGGACACTCACGTTTTGCTTTGAATTCACGAATTTTCATGTTTGCGACTTGACATATAACATAACGTTTAAAATCGGGACGAAAGACATCTGAAAGACGTCTTAAAATTATTTTTCAGACTTTTATTTACAAATATCTCGTCCCGATATTAGACGTTATGTTGTACAGGGAAAGAGGAGAGAGAGAGAGAGAGAGAGAGAGAGAGCGATCTTTTTTGTTTCTCCGCATGTTTAAACAATTTCTTTCACCTTATCGACATACTGATCTAGCAGCGCGAGCGACAGAGAGATATCGACCTAATCCGAAACGCGTTGCCAGCAATTGTGCGTTTATTCGGTGAACCACGAATGTTCGAAAGAAACGGACGACGGTCTACGCGGCTCCGTGTCGGTCGCCGTGGTGCTCAGTAGTGTCCAGTGTCTTTTGCATGGGCTGTTTAACTTTTTTTATCTCACTATTTGTAGTTTAACACACGGCAACTTGGTGTCCGCGAGGTTGCAAGACTCGAGGTAAGTTTTTGGGAAGAGATCGTGTTGAGAGAGAGAGAGAGAGAGAGAGAGAGAGAGACGAAAGGAGGATCAGCGGGGCTCGATTCTTCCTTCGCTCTTCCTTTCAGACGGGGCGCTCGTGTACGCTTTTGAACACTCTGCATCCTTGATGTTCCGCGCGCGCATTACGACCATCTCCGCGCCAGTAGCTACGCCCGATCGAATGACAGTCCCGAGATAGAGGTGGATTGCAATTTCAGGACGAACGCGCCGTCATGCATGAAACAGCGGCGCAATCGAAGATTACGGCGGACTAAACACGCCGGCCCGATTTAATCCTCATCATCTGATAGTGTCTTTTGCCCGGATTCCCTCGGATCCGCGATTAATTTTGCTCAACACACATACAATAGGAATCGGTTGTGCACAGAGAAGAAATTCTCTGTGGATTTAGTATACGTATTCGTTTCACTTTGGTTTCTCTGATATAAACGACATAATTTAATATCGGATATCATTTTGTTTGAATGAAAATGTTGTTCATTCATTAGAGTAAACCATGTTGTTTGATGGAAAAAGAAGCAGTATTATTTAAAAGAAATAATATTTTATTCTTAATAAAAAAAAATGTATTTCATTATATATTAAATGTTATTCCATTGAAATAAGGAGAAATTCATTGCGTTTTTTTTTCTAACATAATGTCCAAATAATTTGTTGTTTGTAACATTACATTGTATATTAAAACCATTGTTGTGTTTGATGAAAATACAAATGAAACATGTTATTTGACGTAAAGATATTTATTGTTTGAGAAATCAAACAATCCTGTTTGTTGAATCAAACATTCGTTTGTTTGCTTTATTCCAAAAGACAAATTTGTTTCAATTAAATTAAAGAAATTTTATTAAAACTAAAGAAATCTATTTTTTTTTTCGTATGGCAACTGGAAATCGAGTATTCCGACGTTGAAAGCGACGAAGCGTGAAGAAATCTCCATTTTATTTTTTTCGAGGATCGTGCGCGGAGCAATAATGTTTTTTTTTCATTCAGTTGTTTAGCAAAAATTACCAGCAGAATCTGATTTCGATACGACGGTGTGATTTCGTATGCGAACGAGAAAATAGTGAAATAAAATCTAAAAAGGAATAAAATAAAAACACTTTTTAGAACGGGTGCTGAAAACTCGGTTTTGTTGTATTCGAAAATGTTATGTTTGCAAAACACTCGAATTCGAGCGAAAAACACTGTTATAAGGTGCTGTGAGATTAAACTGAGCGATTATTACGATTTCTTCGGCCGTTGAAACATCAGCACATTTGTCTGTCGCATTTTTCTTGAAAAATCGGTCCGCCGGCTTGAAATCGTCCAAATCGTGCGAGCTTCAGCATGAACACCGAGAGGCGCTATTTTACGGTGCAACTTGTCGAGCTCGTAAGCACGGTCTATGCACGGTTAAAGTCTCATTTTTCATTCCTGCATTTCGTGCGATCGCGCAGCTCGCGTTTATACACGTAGCCGCCGTCGTAGAAGAGTGTTGCTTCACTTTTAGTGCAATGCATGTGCCTTGAGCGAGCGATATCTCCGCGTACTTAAATTCCGATGTATCTCGTCGAAGATAAGTTTCTCGCGAATTCCGCCTTGTGTTACCCTCTGTCTGGAGAATTTAGTCGCGAGTTTATTGCGTCGTCGTTTTTCTCGCGTCATTGGAAAGAAAACTGTTTACTGATTAGCAGCTCCTGCATGGCTATTCGATGGAAGCGTACGGAGTGGTTCGTGCGACTTGATCGCGTGTATCTTGAAAGAAGTATTCGACTTTGGGGAGTAAGAGAAATTGCAGGAGTGGAAAAAGGAGAAAGAGACCGTCTTGATCACGGCTTTCCGTTATATAAAGAATTGACGTCCCGAAATTCACCGAGAAATCTCCAAGATATCACGTCCGAGAAAGTTTCCCGAGCTGTCCTGTCGTCTCGAAATATCTTTTTACGCGGATACTTCTTTTTCCAAGATACGCGGTCACTTTAGGAAGAAACGCTCTGTATATATATCGACACTTATACACGATACAGATACACATACACTTTGGACAGGCACCTCTCGACGAAGCACTCTCGAACAAGAAGTTGCCATTGCAACGGCTGCCTAATGATTATCGATGATAAGAGAAGCACCGCTTCTACTCGCGTCCACGTAGGCGGAGTAGAAGCTTCTACTTTCCTCGAGAGGACAACTCGACCGTAATCTGCAATTTAGATGCGAGGAGTACGCAGAAAATGCTAGAAGAGATGTTTTTAACAGGTGGACGAGAAAGAACTGTCCGGAGCGGAAGAGGAGAAGGAAGTCGAAAAGGCTCTGCTGAAGCCCCTGCTCTCGTTGGAGGATCTCGTCAGGTTCTCCGCGCTCGAAGGAACCGGCGGCGATTCCCTCAGGAACCTACTGCAACGGGGACACGAAACGGGGGCCGAGTGGCCGGGACTGGAACACGCGAACATCGGCCCTTACATCCAAAAAATGCTAGCTGCCGCGGCACCGTTGGGTAAGTGGAATCAATTGTCCCGAGAACTGTCGGTTTCGTATGATTGTCATTTGATTTTTTCAATTGACGGATTTGCGCCTCTTCGAAAGCATATTTTTTAATACGCACATGTGTGTGCGCGACGTGAAATTAGTCCGTTGAAGGAAGAAATCATTTCCGACAAGCAGTCGTTTATTTTGCCCGCTCATTGACTAGCCAATCGGCGCTAAGGGACGAAAGTCGAAAAGTGTATTACGCCGCGATAAGACTTCTAGAATCGATAGAAGCCAGGCCATAGCCGGCCGCGTCGATACTTTTTCCGCCTTTAGACGGCGAGTTAGTTTCAGAGTAGCTTAAATCCGTTTTCGGAATTGCGACCCGATATCTCGGGGGGAAGGTGTCATTAGGTCGACGTCCGTCGCATTTTTTCCCTGCCATTTATACTCGCACAAAGAAAAATTAACACTCGTATTTTCGTATATATAAGCAAAAATATATATAATCTTACAAAACTCCTTTATACACGTGAAGAAATTCTACATAGCTTTAATATTATATTCTTGTTATTCGAAAAGAATTTATACCGAGAGGAAAAGATATTGGATTGATAGAAATTGATTGCAATTTTCAGTTCGAAAATATCGTTCTTTCTATCTTCTTTTTCCTCTCAGTTGATTTATTCTTTAATAATACGAATCTATTTTTAGTAGATCTATATAGAATTTCTCCATGTAAGCGTTTTATCTTCATATAAGATTATATATTCTTGCTTATACAGAGTATAAGCCGAAACTTTTCGGCCAATTCACTCGTGTGGACGGGTTGAATAAAAAAGTAGCGTTTTGCAATGAGAATCGATTTTTCCCTCGTTGAGAAATCGAGATATTTAATTGGTGAGTGTCCGACCTAAGCACGCGCTTAGTCGGATAATAGAGAAAATCAAAGTCTGTTTGAACGACCGTCAGGCATCGAGACGCAAAACTACCGCATACCGGAGGTGGTGAGGAAGCTGATGAGCGAGGACAAGAGGCTGAATAAGAACGTGAACGGCGATCAGTCGCAGTCGCACCACCAGCAGCACCACCATCAGCAGCACCATCACCTGGCCGCGCAGCAGCAGCAACAGCAGCGCACGCCGATGACGAATGACGACTTCAATCCCAACATCGAGGAGGAGGCGAGCGACAGCGCTCAGGGCAGAGCGATACTGAAAATTCCGTCCTACAAGCCCGCCAGCACGCCGGGCTGTTCCAGCAAGAACGGCGAGCCGACTTCCGCCGCGTTCGCTCAGGGCTTTGCGGCTGCCGCCTCGAGTCCGGGCCTCCTGGAGCGAGCCAGTCCAGCGTTCTCCGGCACCAGCAGCCCGACGAATTCGCTGGTGGGCAAAGCGGTCAACTTCCGCGACGTCATCGCCAAGAGCATCAGCGTCAAGTTCCAAGAGGGTCAAACGTCCGGCTTGCCGGGCTGCCAAGCGGCGGCCGGTGTCGTCCAGCCGCAGATGACGGACCCGAGTCCGTTCAAGAGGGGTCGCTACACACCACCGCAGCCGCAACAAGCGCCGTCGCAGCAGGCGAAGCAGCAGTCGCAGGAGGCGAACAAGCCGAAGCCGGGCACCGGCGGCAAGGGTACCAGGCCGAAGCGCGGCAAGTATAGGAACTACGACAGGGACAGTCTCGTCGAGGCGGTGCGCGCGGTCCAGCGCGGCGAGATGAGCGTGCATCGTGCTGGCAGCTACTACGGAGTGCCGCACTCCACCCTCGAGTACAAAGTGAAGGAGCGGCATCTCATGAGGCCGCGAAAGAGGTGAGTCTTATTTCACTCGGAATTCGTAACCAACGGAGCTATTTCGAATTCGAAGGAAAATCCATTTGAATTTACGAAGGAGTTGATTGAAAAGGATGTCTAATCTCGTTGCAGGGACCAGAAGCAACCGGACGACAAGTCGAAGGAGACTGCGACGGCGGCGGCGGCGATGCGGCCGGGCGCCAGCGTCGAGAAGAAGCCGCAGTTGAAGCCGCAGAAACCGTTCACGCCGCCGGGTGGCATACCCGGCCCGAATGGGCTGAAGATGCCGCCGTTTATGGAGGGTATGCCCCACCTGCCGTTCGGGCCCTTCAACTTCTGGAACCCGACGCCGTTCATGCATTCTCCCTTCATGGGTGGCGCGCCGAACGTGCCGATCCTGTCGGAACAGTACTTCGCGTCGCAGCGAATGCGCGGTCTGCAGGAGCAACAACGAAACGCGGCGATGGTGCACCGAGACGGGATCGCCGGAACGGCGGACGCGGCGGCGGGCACCTCGAATTCTCGCGGCGCCGCGATGGTGAAGACGCCGCGCGACATGGTGGAGAGTATCTACGACGGGCCCGGCGCGAACGGCAGTTTTCTCGACAATCTGATCAGGTCGAGCCTCGAGACGGGCATTCCAAGGGACCAGCGGGCGATCGCGGAGACGAGGAATCAGCAGCAGCAGCAGCAGCAGCAGCAGCAGCAGTCGTCGTCGCAGCAGCAACACCCGGAGACGATGAGCAGCAAGACGCTGATCGACCAGCTCTGCAGGAACTCGAGGAGAACTCCGCTGCCGCGGATGGCGCAGGACAGCAGCGAAGACGAGAGTTATCGAGCGGCGGCGGCGGCGGCGTCGTCCTCGTCGTCGGGCAGAATCGTGCCGGAAAGGCCGGAACGCGTGCCCACGGTCGACCTCAGTCCCTCGCCGTCGGAAAGAGGCGGCCGCACGGACGACGGCAGCGACCGGCTGACGTCGCCGCCGACACCCTTGTCGATCTCCAGGGCGGGCAGCAGGGACGAAGACAGCACCCGCGACTCGAGGATCGATCGCAGCAGCAGGGAGCGCGAGGTTCACAACGGCGGTCAGGAGGATCGGAAGCCTCTGAATCTGCAGCAACAGTCGCCGCAGCAGCAATCACAGCTGAACCACTACCCGGACTTACACAACCTCTACGCCGTATCAACTGACAAAAAAAGTGCCTGTGATAGTAAGCTTATAGTAGATCATTCGAAGACTCAGCCGCAGCAACAACAAAAGGAATACGCTGCCGTGAGCGGGCTGGTCGTGCAACTGCAGAGGGGCTACAACACCGCGAGCAACAGGTCCGGCGAGTCGACTAACAGCAGCCAGCAGCCGGCAGCGGAGCAGCGCGGCTCCGCGCTCAGCATGGAGGACTCCGTAGAGCAGTAGACGAAAGTCAGTATCAGTTATCAGTAAAGTTATGAGTACACACACACACACACACACACAAGGTGAAGATTCCCGCTCAGATCTCTCTTTTCACACCGATCCCGTGCGCCTTCTCGCCGTTGAGCGAGCTTTCCCTTCGATCGGCTTTTCTTCTCTCTCCGATTCCCTCGGAGAGACGTCGGGGGTGCCACGAAGAAGGGAATCCTCCGATGCGACGATACGATGACTACCGATTATCCCACACACGAGCCTGCTCCCTCCAACCTCTCCGTGTTCCAATCGGAAGAAACAAACCCTCGAACGTTGCCAGGTAAGTTGCCGGGGCAAGAACAGAAAAGAGATGGCATGCTATTACGACGCTAAGCACAATCGACCCATTGCGATTCCGCCAGTTAAGCGCAACCACCCGCCGTACGAACCAGCTGGCCGGCTAACCTGGCCGTGCAGGCGCGCGTCCAAGAGATCCTTTCGACTATGGCGAGAAGTATATTTCAGAGTATACGAACGGAGATGTAAACACGCATTCGACAACACTTTTACGCTTTAGCAGATGCACGATTCTAATCCACGACATTCCACGAGACGCATAATGATACAGTGACCGACACCCATAACACACACAGGTACACATACTTACGAGAGTATACAAAAATGGGGAACATATAACGAGATACTTAGACGTCGCGCGCGTGCACGCGTCGCTAAACGCGCGTCGCGCGAGAGCTCTCCCTGCTTAATAGAGCTGAAAGCGAGCTTCCGTCGAAGGTCGGCGCGTTGAAAAGGGACGTTCTCGCGGCCACGAGAACGCGCTCGGTCGCGGGCACGCGCGCGCGCGCGAAACGTTAGCCGCTCGATGATTATTATTACGATTATTAATTACTGCTACCGATCGGTGGACGACGACGAAAGGTCAAACGATGGAACAAAAATGCCGACGCGACAACGTATTTTTTCCTCTCTATGAGTGTAAAACTACCTAATGCAACAAGAAAAAGAAATCTTATTATCTACTATTAAACACTACTCTTAACTCGTAAGGAGCGACATAATTATATAAGGAATAATATATTATATATACATATATTTTTGGTCATTACGAACATGTGCGAAGCGCGAACGAGCCAAGGCTTTTGTTGGCGCGCGTAGGTGACGTTTTTTCACGAGGCGACAATATTTCTATAATTCTCGGTTGTTGTTTCGGCGTTCTCGCGGAACGGGTCCCACGTTTTCGTCGGCGAGACAGGGCAACGCGGGAAATAGCGGAGCGCGATCTTCGTCGTTGGATATTGCCCACCGACCGTGCTTTTTCCGACGCGACCTTTGGTCCGTCCGATTGCCAATCGATGCGAACCAATGGGGGAATGAGATGAATGCGTCCGTTTGTTTTTTCGCTCGTTCTTTTGTTTACAGACAGAAAATTTGCGCATCGCCGGACGGAATCCATCCGGAGAGCTGTTTAACAGCCTTTCGCACTTAACCTGACGGAATCTTGTCGTTCCATACGAGTTCAATCAAATGTTGCTACGACAACACCACGATATCTCTCTTTGGAGAAGTGTCTCAAAAAAAAAAAAGTCTAATCGCATAATATCTATTTAAAAGAAGAGCCGAATGATGAAGTGTCTCTCGCATACAGTCGATTTCATTTTCACGCACTTTCGTTTCCCACACGCGGAGTTTGACACCCGAGCTCTCTGCTTTTGCGAGCAATCACGGCGACGAAGATCGCGATCTGCCGGCGCCGCGTTATCGAATTGGTCCAGACGGAACTAAGGAGACGCGAAATCAGAACGTGGAGAGATTAGAAGAAGAAAGAGGGGAGTTGCAACGCGCGCGCCCGCTCGAAAGCGGGGACGTTTTTTCTTAAGCGCGAGACTTTTTGATACGAATACAAATTTTCTACCGCGTAAAAGGAAGAGACGCAGAGGCAACGCGTTTCTTCGGGAAAAGACTCATTCGAGAACCTAAGAATGTATATTTCTCTCTGTTTTTGGCTCCCGCGAGCGTACCCGACGCGCCGGCACGCATGCCTCGATCGTCCGTCGTTGGCTCGGAATAACGACGATACGAGTATCGGACGGATCGTCTCTCTCTCTCGTTCGGTTTTCCACGCGGGGTCGTGCACGTTTTTGTGTGCATGCGAGAAATTATAAAAAGGATGTGACACCCTCCGAGGGAATGAGACATTTTCACAGAGGAGTTTGGGAAAGTCCGGCAAAATAACTCGAGTTAATGTCGAGAGAGATTTCAAATTCGCACGAGTCCAAGACGCTTGTTTTTCTTTCTGAATTTTAACTATGCATGGAAGAAACGACTCGGTCGAAATTTACAGATAATTCGACTTTAAATTCGTAGACATTTTGCACACACTTATATTTTGTGGTGGCATCGTTGGAGCGAGTCTTTCGTTTGTCTGACGTGCACGACCATCGAGGATTCTCGTCGCAATTCTCGGTTAAATTCCGTTTCGTAGACGATCCGCGGATTGCAAAAGGGACGTCATTTCGTTATTGTAGCAGACAGGACCAAGACGAAAGGCCGGAGCAGGATGGAGGCCAGACGAACGCGAGAAAACGGCGACAAATAGAAAAGTAAAAACGGTGCTGTAGTGCGAGCCAGGATTTCCTATTTTTCTCTCGCATAGTCGATCGTAAGCGACGTGAACAAATATAAAAAAAGAAAGAGGAGAGCAGCGCAGTAGGAAGAAACGAAAAAAGGATGATCCACACACGCACTCATCTCATGACTCTCTTTAAAAGTAACGACTGAAAGACTCTAGGCTGTATATAAAATATAAGGCATGTATGTTCGGTGTTTTAAAAATGCAAAAATTCCTTATTAACGCAAAAAAAAATTATACCTACGAAAAAAGTAAACCATATAAGCAAGGCTACTCTCTCGGTGTTTTTTGGAACTAAACTTAAAATTTACCCTATTAAAAAAACCGTGAATAATGTAACTTTAAAGGAAGCGCGCGTAAACGCGGAAACAAGTTATTGAGTGTAAACGTTAAGGTCTCCTTAGGGTTAAAAAGTAAAAAAAAAATAATAACAAGCTGAAAAACCAAGCGAAATGCAAGCTAATCATGATTGTGTGTAAACGTAAACTTAAACCTTCCTTCGCCCCGCTAAATCACTTTTTAACTGTCCACCCTCTCTCTACTCCCCTTTATTCCTCACGCAGACAAAAGGTATACGATAAATCAGTGTGATCTGATCTACTCGATGCCTCTTTTTCTAAACGTTCACAAAGGTATTACGCGAAAAGGAGGGAAGTATGTTTATACACTTGTTCCGACCACTGATTCACTCTTCCTCACATCCCCATACCCGCGAATTCGCCTCACCGACACACCCAGAAATTCAAGCCCGGATACCCCTTACCGAAAGATTTATCGTTAGATGTGAAAAAAAATTATATTTATCGTGCGGATGATAGTAAACGTGCGTAACACACACACACACACACACACACACACACACACACTATGATTGTCGTTAATTCAATTACGGTTACGATGTTTCGTCGCGACGTTTGGTGCGGTCTATAATCGGCATACATCTCCAACGATCCATCGGGTTGCAAACGCGGCGTTGTTTCTTTCTTCGCGAGAGGAGGAGAACGATACACCGGGGAGAGGTAGATAGGAAGCGCGAAATCAAACCTAGGACGAATGAGAGGCATCCGCGTCGTCGAAAATAATTCGCGGTTGCTACGGATACGCGCGTAATTGGATCAAATTCTGTAAGCTGCGACGGTCAACAAATTATTGCTGATTTCCTTTCTATAGAATATACCGCCTAAGTGACATAGTCGCAATTTCACGTGCGTCCGCCGGCGGAAGGAGAGAGATCGCACACTGTGTATATCTGATCAAAATTCAGTGCGTAAGGTAACAAAAGATATTTCTCAGCGGAGATAACTTCAATCGAAAGAAGAGAAAATGGAATTTTTTCGAAATTTTTCGAGAATCATAAATATTAATGTTCAAATATTAAATGGGCGTTTTTTCGACGACGCGAAGATTTTCGAGGCTCGCCGGCATAGGGACGATTAGGTCGCGACAATTAGCACGATCGACGCGCCGACGGCGCAATTAACGAGGCGTCCGCGTAATGATCTCCCAGCTGCTACGCCCCGGGAAGTTTCGTCCGCCGTTCAAGACTATCCAGAGTTCGCGCATACACACACACACACACACACACACCCCGTTCGTTTCTCTCGCGGCGAAGCCGAAAAGTGTTCTCACACTCGGCGCGATTACTTACGAAACCGTGCGCGATTCCGCGCGGCAATCGCCGTCCGGACGAGCGATCGATGAGAGGCGCTCCCCTCCGCGACAACAGGGTGGGCGCGTCGGCCGAGGGAGAGACGTTTCTTCGAGCAACATGCGGACGGGCTCCAGTGAGAGGAAATCTGCTACGCGCGATCGTCGGGAAATGGGAGGCTAGGCAGGTGTACCGTTGCGATTCTTGAAACACTGTCGATTTTCGTTCTTTTCTTTCCGGGGGAGACAGCGGGACGGAGAGAAGCAGCTACTCGAAATCGCATTGTTGTTATTGGGGTGATCGAGCTTAAGGCCTCTTTTATGCGCCACGACGATGATTTTCGAGCGCTGTCGACGTCTGAGGGATGTTCGATTTTCCCCGCGAACGCTTTCTCGGACGTCTGCGAGAAGTCGGAACGAATCGCGCGCGAATAAAAGAGTCCTTTCGATCGTCGTGTACATCCTACCTACCGTCTCTCCCTTCGTCGCGGGCGATAACAATCCGGCGAGTGACGGATTGGTCGAATATATACGGGGAGGAACAGAAAAAAATCTTTAAGAATTAAAAGAAGATATATTATATTAAAATATCTGTGATGTAAAAAGTAACAAAATTTTGATGTATATTTTTCACAAATTATTGTAACCAGCTAGTGTATATGTAATAAGATTATGGATATATTATATATATATTATATATATATATAACAGCCGTCAATTGTTCTGGAAGCAAAGGAGGGCATGA